TATAACCACCATATTTTGCATGTCCATATGAATTTTAATATTTTTTGTAAAATAAAATATGGTTCTATACAACCAAGTTTCTTACAAACTGAATGGTTCTATTGATTTTGTCTGTGCCTTTAAAAGCCACAAAAAGAGGGTTTTCCATATGTGCATTACAAGGAATGATGACACTTCTTGTTACCACACCCTTTGCCTTTTTACACCTCGACAGGAGCGTCTACTGATGAGAAGGGTTGAAAAAAAAAATAGCCATGCAAGTTCACTGCAGTTAGCTAAAAAAGTAGAAAGCCATATTGAGGAGATTCTTTCCCGTGACACAATATGGCATACACTACAGAGGAATGGGATACATGGGTGTTGTCCACAAAGGAAGCCTCTCGTAAAACCCATGCACAAAAAAAGCCCACCCAGAATTTGCCAGGGCCCATGCTGAAAAAGAAGACGATTACTGGGACTCTGTACTCTGGAGTGATGAGACCAAGATAAGTGTTTTTTGGAACGGATGGCTTCAAAACTGTAAGGCATTGCAATGGTGAGGAGTACAAAGAAGAATGCATGGTGCCTACAGTGAAACACGGTGGTGGCAGTGTCCTCCTGTGGAGCTGCATGAGTGCTGCTGGTGTCGGGGAGCTGCATTTCATTGAAGGTATCATGAATTCACAGATGTACTGCTCTATAATTAAAGAGAAGATGCTACCATCACTCCATGCCCTTGGTTGTCATGCAACTTTTCCAACATGACAATGATCCAAAACACACATCTAAGACCACTTTTGCATTTCTGAAGAACAGGGTGAAAGTGATTCAGTGGCCAAGTATGTCTCCTGATATGAACCAAATTGAACACCTAAGGGGGAATTCTGAAGAGACAAGTTGAGCATCACTCTCCATCCAGCATCCAGGCTCTAAAAGAGGTTGTTCTTGAAAAATGGAAAAACATGTTGCAATATGTCACCAACTTGTTCATTCCATGCCTAGAAGACTTGATACTGACTTTACAAATCATGAAGGTCATACAAAATACTAGATGTAGTAGTTTTTGTTGTGGGGTGTATTCATTTTTGCATCAACTAATTTGAGTAAAACTGAAGATTTTGTAATCCAAGTTAAATTGTTAATCTTACTTTCATGAAATGAGCAGCTAAACAAATGTTCTATAAAACTGAAAATTTTGGAAATTGTTCTTGTGTTCATTGAGATATTAAAATCTTACTTTTCAAAAAGGGTGTATTCATTTATGCAAAATCCTATGTGTAGATAGAGAGATAACTGACAAACCCATACATTGTCCTGTTACATGGGCCTACACAAAGCCAGAGTTTAAAGTATTTTATGTCTTTCTAGCCATGGCAATTTAGGAGGCATGGGGGAGGGGCTACTTTTTAGCTCTTAATTGCTGCAGACTGCAAGGTCCAGTGAATGAATAGATTTGTAATTAAGCCTCTACAATGACTCTCAAAAAGCTGCTGAGATAAGATATCAGCTGGAGGGAAGACTTTGTTTTTCATTAGCTGCTCCACACTACTTCTGAAGCATGGCAAAGCAGGAGGAACTATCAGCAAATGTAAATGAGCAAATATGGCTGCCTCTATACACTATGTATTATTCCAGATTATATAAAGAAAAAGTTTAATGAAAAAAATTAACACAAATCCAAAGAATGCTCACATCAAGCAAATTTCTTTACATCTACAATTTTGTAAAACTAATCTATACTGAGTTGCATTTCCTAAAATGAATCAATGTACTGGATGGATTATTTCCCCTTATTTACATATAGAGAAAGATGCTTCATATACTCAATATACACAGAGAGCGAATATTGTAGACCCAATGTGGCTACAGACTTTAGGCAGTTTTAGATAGCCTAGAAAATATTTTGTCTTTGAGAACCTTCAGTCAGTGCTGCATATGCCAAAGAATCACCGTGCACTGGTGTTTGTGACCAAAAGAATTTGTGCGATAATTAAACTGTGCTTGCACAGCTGACTGTTCTCCAAGGTCTATGGCCAGCTTTAATGCTTATGTACACTTCAGCCTTTCTTAGGACTGTGATCATAAATAAATAAATGTGAAGTATGTGGAGGATCATGCTGTAATCACAATCTATACTGTATATACTGTTGGATGGCTGGAATTTTACATACCTAGACAAAAGGTACCTAATAAACATTTGTATTTGATACCTGGATATACAAAAGAAAAAAATGTGGAGTAAACCCACTTTGTTATATAGCTTAATTTATAAAAAAAAAAAAAAAACACTTACCTGTAGGTAAAATGATATTCAGGTTTTTCTTTTTTTTTTTAGTTGGCGCATGCGCTCTGAAGGAATGGCATACCATTGCAGTTCCTTGAGAGCACTGTGCCGTGTCCCGTGACTCGTATGCGCGGGAATGATCTCATTGCAGCTCAGCCAGTCAGATGGCCAATGCATACTAGCACATTATGCCATTGTCTTGCACTACTGCTTTAAGCCCCATACATATGATGATAATATCGGACAAATGATTGTCAGGTTTTTTTTGCATGCTAGTCTCGTATCAAAAGTAAAGAGGTTACTAAAATTACAAAAAAATCTTGTATGACAGAATAACATTTCAGCAGTGATGTAATGTATTTGTGTTGTATTCTTGGATGAAAATTGTAAAGATTAAATGAAAATCGTACGAGAAAACTTTTTGCGCTTGTCCCTTCAGTCAAATTTGGACAAAAGCTGTGTACGAACGATCAGATTACCGTATGATAGACTTGAAAGCTGTATTTTTATTTTTTTTTACAATTTTCTGAGTTAGATAACAGTGCCTAAACATATACCAGAACAATAGAAACAGTAACACAACAGCTTCTAGTTCACAAAGGCAGTTAGCATACAATGGGACTTCCTTTTTCATTCATTATCCAAATAAATGGTGGATGAGCACAGGGTTTTTTTTCCCTCCACACCCCAACTATCTGCAGACTATATCTAAAACTATTTAGGAACCAGTCAATAAGGCAGGCCAAGCATGATGTGACCTTCTTTCCCGCAACCACGGTTTGCAGGAAAGAAAATTACTTGATTCCCCCGCAGAGCTATTGTGTTCTCTTGTCCCGTGATCTCTTGCCCACCCATCACAATGTACCTGTGCCCCAAGCTCAATAAGGACCCCAGCCTCACTGTGCATACCCTTTACACAGTACCCAAGTGGGCGCTATGCTAAGGAATCCCTGCCACACTGCACGTGTGCCCTTTGCATGGTACCCAAGCAGGCACAACACTAACACCCCCTAGCTCACTGCACATGCATGCCCTGCCCTATGCATGGTGTCAGAGCACACCCAGAATGAGAATGAATGACCCAGCTGGAAGCACACACATCAAGGATCTCCAGCTCAGGAAGCACACACTGTGCTACTGTTCTGATATGTTTTGGGACTACATGTCCCATGATTCCTTACCCTTCTGTCACACTGCGCATGCGTGCCTTAGGCACAATGCAGACTCCAGTCACACCGCACGCGTGCCTTAGGCACAATGCAGACTCCAGTCACACCGCACACGTGCCTTAGGCACAATGCAGACTCCAGTCACACCGCACGTGTGCCTTAGGCACAATACAGACTCCAGTAACACCGCACGTGTGCCTTAGGCACAATGCAGACTCCAGTCACACCGCACACGTGTGCCTTAGGCACAATACAGACTCCAGTAACACCGCACGTGTGCCTTAGGCACAATGCAGACTCAGTCACACCGCACGCGTGCCTTAGGCACAATGCAGACTCCAGTCACACCGCACGCGTGCCTTAGGCACAATGCAGACTCCAGTCACACCGCACGCGTGCCTTAGGCACAATGCAGACTCCAGTCACACCGCACGCGTGCCTTAGGCACAATGCAGACTCCAGTCACACCGCACGCGTGCCTTAGGCACAATGCAGACTCCAGTCACACCGCACGCGTGCCTTAGGCACAATGCAGACTCCAGTCACACCGCACGCGTGCCTTAGGCACAATGCAGACTCCAGTCACACCGCACACGTGCCTTAGGCACAATGCAGACTCCAGTCACACTGTGCATGCACACCCCTAGCCGAGAACCCTTGCCACAGTGAGCTTATGCACCCTTATCCATGGTACCGGAGCAGGCACAATGCTAAGGACCCCAGTACACTGTGTATACACACTCCAAGCACAAAAAGGACCCTGAACACATTGTGCTAAGGACTGCTCTAGCACAGCACCTGAGCAGGCACAATGATATGAACCCTCTGGCACACTGTGCACCCTATTCCCGGCACCTAAGTACAAATGTTGGCAGGAAGGGTTAATACACAGGCCCTGGGGCGAGTATCCATAATAATACTTGCAATGGCTGGCACTCATTAGCTAATGCAACTATATGACCATGCTGACCAATGAAAAGCACACCCAGGACTTGTTTCCGATGTGTCCCTGAAGAAAAAAGTGCTTCTCATTGGTTACCAGCAGTTATGAGGTCACATTGACCAATAAGCGCTTGCCATTACCAGCATTACGACGTCTACTCACTGTGTAGTATGGGGCATCATGGCCGCTATGTGTGGTGGGCTCTGGGAGGGTGGCCAGGATATTTGGAGTTACTTCATCTTTTCATTGTTCTAGAAAGGTGAACTTACCCCTTTAAGCACACATATATGCTGCTGGAGCAGACAAGGCCTTCCTCTATGAGAGGATGAGCACCAGAGATAAGGGGAGAGTGACTCTGGTCAGCAAAATGGAGTTTACCATTCTGGGTGAGCTATCAGGTGACACACAGGAAGCTATGTACTGATTAGACTTTCACTGTGACTACAGCAAAGCCTCCATTGTACAGTGCTCTCCTCTTCCTCCTCCCGGGGCTTTCACCGAGCCCCTCACACGAACCCCGCCGACGCCTACTCTACCTCCTGCTCACATTGTACTATACAAGATTCACGTGACTTCCCCCCAGGCCCCGCCTCGGAGCCCCGCGCCCCCCCAGAATCGCTCTTACCTGATTGGGTGGCGCTGCGCTCGCGTCCGGCATCCCCGGAACCCCTGGAATGTCGCGAGCCCGACGAAGTCGCTGAGGGAGCGCGCGCCCACACCGCTAAGGCGGCCCGCGCATTTGGCGGCCATTCCGGCTCTGAGGGGAGACGGCTGGACACCGTTTCAAGAGGAGTGTTGGCTGGGGAGGGGCCGCCTCTCGCTTCGGACTCCTGAGTCTGACCTCGGAGAGAGATGCCGGTTCAGATCACCACTGTCACTAGCTCCTACGTCATCTCGTCACCATGGCGACCCGTGGTGACGTTATCTCGTGAGGTCAGGAGTGACGCTGGTAGCTGAGGAGCGCTTGGAATGTCGGGAGTTGTGGTCTTTGTTGTGGCGATGGGAGGTTGATTGAAAGCCGTCCATGGCGGAGGGCTGTTGTCACACGTTTTGTGGTAACAGCTGAGCAACGGAAAACGGGGCGACTGTTTACTGGACACACGGTCTTCTCACAGCCGGCCTAGTATAATTATTCCTGAGGGCGCTTTATGTGGGGGTGCACCCTTGGGCCTTTTGTACCTAAATTTCCTTGTGATGAGGTTTTTTTTCCTTTTGGCTCTGTATATAAGGCGTGAGATTATACAGAGCAAACTGGCCGACATATCCCTGTACGTCCTGCTGCATATTATTATTATTATTATACAGTATTTATAAAGCGCCAATAGTTCACTCAGCGCTGTACATTACAAAGGGAGACAGAACATGTGACAGAACAATACCAATACAATGCAAAACATGAGGGGATTGAGGGCCCTGCTCTTTCGAGCTTACAATCTAGGAGGGAGGGGGTGGTGGCACAGGAGGAGATAGCTGTGGGGGATGGAGTGGTAGGAAGAGTGGAGGAGGGAGGCAAGTTAGCAGGGGGTGGGGTAGGCTTCCCTGAAGAGATGGGTTTTCAGGGTGCGCCTAAAGGAGAGGAGAGTAGGTGATAATCTGATGGGTTGGGGCAGGGAGTTCCAGAGGATAGGTGACACCCTGGAGAAGTCCTGGAGGCGGGCATGGGAGGAGGAGACCAGGGAACTAGAGAGAAGGAGGTCTTGTGAGGAGCGGAGTGTGCGTGCTGGGCGGTACTACTTGGATATTAGGTCAGTGATGTAGTTCGGGGCAGTATGGTGGACAGCTTTGTACGTCAGCGTTAGGATTTTGAATTTGATCCGTTGCGCAATCGGAAGCCAGTGGAGGGATTGGCAGAGGGGGGTGGCGGAGACAGAGCGGTTGGAATATAGCCAGCAATAGTAGTGCATTTGTGCTGTATACATCTCTTGCTTTCACTGCTCCTTGCAAGACCTCCTGCTCTCTATCTCCCTTGTCTCCTCCTCCCATGCTCATCTCCAGGACTTTTCCAGAGCTTCCCTCATACTCTGGAACTCTCTACCCCAATGTATCAGACTATCGCCTACTCTGCTTACTTTTAGGCGATCTCTGAAAACCTGTCTCTTCAAGGAAGCCTATCCTGCCCTTAGCTAATAACGGAATCTTCTACTCCTCCTACCAGTCCACCCCCCACAGTTTCTACCTCTTGTACCACTAACCCCTCCCTCCTAGATTGTAAGCTCCAAGGAGCAGGGCCCTCCTATCCTCTGATGGGGGGCACAGTCTCTGATGGGGGTGCTGCTTCAGATTGAGTGCGGCTTTGAAAGAGTGCGATGCAGTTAAACACAGCAATCTAATTATGCTGTCTCTACTTTCACAGGTAAATGCATCTCTCCTACCTCCACTCTTAACTCAAAATCGCATTCACTCCTGTTATATTCAGAACACATATTTGTGTGTATGTTGACCAGTCCTCACCTCTACCTGCACCCAGTTTACGACTGTAGTCTGTTTCCTGAGAAACATCTCTCACTATTCATGTGATCCTTATCAGTTTCTAATTGGGGTGGAGTTGAATGCTCATTTGAGCATCTCCCTATAAATTTAGATCAGCTCATGGGGGGAGATCTCTGATGGGGGGCACAGTTTCTGATGGGGGTGCTGCTTCAGATTGAGTGCGGCTTTGAAAGAGTGCGATGCAGTTAAACACAGCAGTGCGGCTTTGAAAGAGTGCGATGCAGTTAAACAGCACAGCAGTGCGGCTTTGAAAGAGAGTGCGATGCAGTTAAACACAGCAGTGCGGCTTTGAAAGAGTGCGATGAAAGAGTGCGATGCAGTTAAACACAGCAGTTGAACTAAAGCAGGAGAACTTAAGCAGCAGGAAGACACAACAACAACAAGAAACTCTACTACATGCTGGACAGATTGCAAGCAAACGCCCTGGAAAACCTCTCTTACATACCTGAGTCCCACCCCGTATACCTTTATATAATATGCCCCCTCTTCTCTTCATATTACTATCCTCTGTTCCCAAATCTCATTTCTTTACCCTTCTGCTCCACCCTAAAACTTGTACATCTCCCCCTCATTGCTATCATCTCCCTACTACTGCTCTCATCATCCCCCCAAAATGCCTCTTCTACTCCTCCTCATTTTCCTCTCCTCCATTCCCAAAATCCATTCACTTTATCCCTCTGCTCCTCCTAAACATTTGTATATTGTGTCCTCACTGCTTCCTTCGCCCCTCTATGGCACCCACCACCTCCTCCTATTACTCCACTCTCACACTGACCCAAACACCTCCACTAGGAGTTTCTCACGCTCCTGCACATCCCGCTCCCATGCCACCTTTCTCACCCTTCTCCTCCTAGCCGCGGGGGACATCTCCCCAAATCCTGGCCCTCCACCACCTCCCTCACCCGCACAACACCCTCCTGCCTCCACGTCCTACCTCAACCCCCGCAACCTAGTATCTGTCCCCCTGCTCCCTAAAATCTCCCCCCCATTTTCATGTGCACTCCTGAACGCTCGATCGGTGTGCAACAAGCTTACCGCCATCCATGACCTCTTTGTTTCCTGCTCCCTCAACCTCCTAGCGATCACGGAAACCTGGATCCAGCCCACTGACTCTACCTCCCCTGCTGCACTCTCCTATGGAGGTCTCACCTGGACCCACTCACCCAGACCTAACGGTTGTAAAGGTGGTGGGGTTGGTCTGCTCCTGTCACCGCAGAGCACCTTCCGAGTCCTCCCTAAACCTATCCTTCTCCTCCTCGAGGCCCACTGCGTCAGACTATTTTCCCCAACCCCCCTGAAGATTGCTGCTGTGATATATCGGCCTCCTGGATCCATACCCCGCTTCCTGGATGACTTTTCCTCCTGGCTACCCTTCTTCCTCTCCTCTGAGCTACCCACCATCATTCTTGGGGATTTCAACATCCCTGCCAACCTCGACAACCCAGACACAGCCCGTCTCCTCCACTTAACATCCTCCTTTGCACTTGCACAGTGCATACAATCCACCACCCACTCCGACGGTAATATTCTTGATCTTGTCTTCTCCAACCACTGCGCTCCCTACAACCTCACTAACACCCCCTTTCCTCTCTCTGACCACAACCTGATTACCTTCTCTTATCTCCTCGTACTCCAACGCCTACCCCTCCAAATGTCACACTACTACCAGCCGTAACCTCCGCAACCTTAACCCTGCCCCCCTCCACTCTGCAGCTGATCAACTCCATGACAGCATCCTCCCCCTGTCCTGCCCCGACTTGGCTATGACTGCCTACAACAACGTGCTGTCAACAGCCCTTGACTCACTAGCGCCTTTAACCACACGCAACATCAGACCCCGACCGCTCCAGCCCTGGCAGACTGATCACACCAAAACCCTCAAACGACACAGTCGTGCCCTGGAGCGACTATGGCGCAAAATAAAATCCCAACAAGCCTTCACCCGCTACAAATCTGCCTTCCGCACCTACACCTCCTCCCTCCACGCAGCCAAACAAGCCTACTTCCTGACCCTCATCAAGACCCTCTCCTCCAACCCTCGCCGACTCTTCTCCACCTTCAACTCTCTACTACCTCCACCCAGCACCTCACTCACCGCCCTTGAGATTGCCAATCACTTCAAAAACAAGATTGACACAATTCCCAAGGACATTGCCGCAACTCACACGCCCTCTCAACCCGTCCCCTCTCACACAGCTACCCCCTGATCCCCCCCCCCCCTCGACATTACCCCAGGGACTTCGTCACTGCTCAAACTCCCTCCAACCCCGTTCCCCCTCACTCAGCTACCCCCTCATCACCCCTCTCCCACGGCTCCACCTGCTCTGACCTCCACTTCCACCCCACCCTACATTCCTCATACTGAAGCTCCCCCAATACTCCACACCTTTGACCTTACTACCATCGAGGAAGTTCCAAGATCCTCTCTGATGCCCGCCTCACCACCTGCCCCCTCAACCCTATCCCCTCACAATTCCTATGACCTCCCTCCCCCCCTCCATCCTACGCTCCCTCACCCACATCTTTAATCTCTCCCTCTCCTCCGGCACTTTCCCCTCCCCACTGAAGCATGCACACATCACCCCCATACTTAAAAGCCCTCCCTGGACCCCAATGACCTGAACAACCTCAGACCCATCTCCCTGCTCCCATTTACATCTAAACTCCTCGAGCGCCTCGTCTACACTCGCCTATGCTCTCACCTCAACGACAACAACCTCCTCGATCCCCTACAGTCTGGCTTCCGTCCCCTACACTCCACCGAAACCGCCTTACTCAAACTCTCCAACGACCTACCCGCCAAAGCTAATGGCCACTATTCAGTGCTCCTACTCCTTGACCTCTCTGCGGCCTTCGACACAGTTGACCACCCCCTCCTCCTCAAAATACTACACTCCCTCGGCCTCAGAGATTCTGCTCTCTCCTGGCTCTCATCCTACCTGTCACAACGCTCTTTCAGCGTTACCTATAATGCTACCACCTCCCCCTCTCTGTTGGGGTCCCTCAAGGCTCTGTCCTTGGGCCCCTTCTCTTCTCCATCTACACCTCCTCCCTTGGCCAACTCATACACTCTCCCGGCTTCAACTACCACCTCTATGCTGACGACACACAAATCTATCTCTCAACCCCCCACCTCACCCCCTCGGTCTCTGCCCGAATCACACACCTACTGAGCGACATATCAGATTGGATGTCGCTCCACTTCCTTAAACTGAATCTCTCCAAAACCGAGTTTCTTGTCTTCCCCCCAGCCCTAACCC